GGGTGCTGCGACCCCTCCCCCACCACTCAATCAATCAATCAATCAATCAATTAATCAATCAATCGTGGGGTGGGGCGACCCCTCCCCCACCAGTCAATCAATCAATCAATCAATCAATCAATCAATCAATCAATCAATCAATCAATCAATCAATTAAACTATCAATCAAAAAAAAAAAAAAAAAAAAAAAAAAAAAAAGAAATTAATCAATCAATCAATCAAAGGCGGGGCGGGGCGACCCCGCCCCCACCAATCAATCAATCAATCAATCAATCAACGGAAAAAATTAATAAAAAAACACGTTCTTTTTTTTTTTCTTCATTTCTTCTCGTCGGCAGCCCAGCCCCCTAACCAAAAGATGTTGTTTTTTCATTTTTTTTGTGTGGGGGGGTGGGGCCGGGGATGCGCCACCGAATGGCGCTTCCCGAATCCCGAACCCCCCTCCCCTCTGGCCGCCATGTGGCGCCAAAGCCGCGCGTCCGAGCGGACTTCGCCGCGCTTGTCCGCCGCCCCAGGGGATTCGTAGCTGGGAAATGATGGCCATCGCTGTGTGAAGATCTGGTGTTACCCGCATGCTGTTGTACAAACAAAACAACACAAATGAACTTTGTTAAACGAGAGACGTTTGCTGGTCGGCGGCGGATGGGTGGGTGGATGAGTGATTGGGTTGGATCAGTCGTCAATCTGATCGCTGACAAGAGCATTTATCGCCGAGCAACAAATGTCTCCCACTTAACGCCTGCCCTGTCCTCTGCTCATTGCGGTGCTTGTTAATTTGCATGACCCCTTGATTGATTGAACGCTTGTTTGCTACTTTGAAATGGTGTGTGGTATGAAAGAGACCAAAAGCAAAAACACACACACACACGAACACCAAACGCACACGAACGGTTCATCTATCTCTAGATCAGAAATGCTCTATCGATCTTTTTACCTGTTGTGCAGACGAACATGGCCAAGGGTGCGTGCACACGCTACATGACATGAGCTTCAATTGAGCAATGTATGTCTGGAGAGATCGCGAACGGACTGAATGACTCGACTGCCTAGAAAAACACACGTTCAGTTTGTCGACGTGGACAGATGAGCACTTGAGAACAGAAGGGCACACGCGGACATAAGGGCGTGCACACACACCCACACACAACCTCGACACTCCCGTGTGATTGAATGATCGATCAACCGAGCTGATTGCCTCGTAGACACCGACTTTTCATTTGATTGGTAGGCGATCGCGTTCAGTGGTTGATTGCACACGACTGCACACTCAAGCGATCGCATTCAGTTGTTGATTGGCAGACAACACCATGCGTTGCTTTATTCGATCGATCAACCAACAACGACGCAAAAAATCACATTCAGTTGTTGATTGATGGATCGGTCGATTGGATCTCGCGAATCGTTCTGCCAACATGAAAAGGCTTTCCCTCGCAACTTCACAAGACCGAGCGGACAATACATACGTAAAAGAAAGCTTGAACATCGATCAATCCAGCAAATCATAATTGAAAGTATACGCAAAGTTAGCGGTTGTAACGAATTCGCGCA